ATGAGGCTTGATAATCTTGATTTCCAATATGAGTAGGTTTTTGGACAAATGATGGTTGTTCTGGATGTGGAAGAGGTGGAGATGGTTTTTAGACTGGTTTCTTTCAAGCTTATATGAGAACTAGTAAGACATATTAAATGCCTTACTATAATCACTTTCTATTACGTAGGTAGGATGCAAAGAAGTATATGAAGAAAACTATCTTGACATGGTAGGATAGGTGGGATAAAATTCATAAATGGTTCTTAATTAATCTTTGGCTAGATCTACTTCTATCTACTATAATTGTTTCTGTATTTTTTAAATTTCTTTTTCTTTCTTGTACAAATCTGGCCCACAATATCTCTCATTGATATATTTCTTGAGATCTATATCAAGTTGTTGTTCTTGCATATAAAGTTTACTATACAGGCTTTTCATTTGCTCATTCATTTAGCTCATCTGAGAAAACAAATGGTCAAGATTAGAATCAATCTTATGAAGAACTTTATTTTGACAAACAGCATTTCGTGACTATTAGTTGAGAATTTCTTTTACAAAAGAAACAAGGAGAGTCCCTTGAGGGGATACTTTTATTGTTGCAATAAAGGGTCTAGAAGTGACCCTAAGTCTTAATATTATTTTTCCATTTGGTTTTAATCCTAATACTATTCCTGAAGTCCACTAGCTAGCTAAAAGAAGTTTGTTCTTTTGGCTCTATTTTCTCCTCTAAAAAATTCAAATTCAGCCACAACTTAAATTCATTGATGTTCAAACCCTATACCCTACATTAAAGGCCCTATATCAGATTAGCCACAACTTTTTATGCATGCACATTAGCTTTTCCTCCTTTAATTATTTATCATTACCTTTATGACTTTGCTAATAAAGGTTCTAATCTTTGAAACTTTTTTGAATGGTTTTCACCATTATCGCGTTGGTGTAAGAAACTCTATAAGGTAATTGAAAACAATGGCCTATAGAAGATATTGAATCAATAAAAGGCTTGCTCCTTCTTTGTTATTCATCACCCCTATTATCTAGATAGCCATGGAAAACTCTATATTGCCAACTAAGCTTGCTTGTGAAAAATCTCAATTAGTTGGCCATCATATAAAGAATTAATTTTATTTGAGTTAAAATATTTTTTATGTGAAATGAACAATTTTCTAAGCACATATCCTAACATTAGATGCACATTTCTTGGTCCCATTCCTCATGATGTTATTCCTTATGATCCATCACCATTTATACAATACCAATACCCAAAATGGCTTGCTAGCATTGTTGTTCAACAAGGTTATTTAACATGGATGGATTCATGTGGAACACCATCTTCTCAAAATCCAGAGACTCCTTTAAGCCTCCTTCTTCTAGATAGTCAAGACCTTTATAAGCTTGAGTCCTATTACTGTCGATAGTTCTTAACAAAATACTTTCTTACATTTGAACCATTTGAAGAATAAGAGGATATGAATGAAGACTTCAATGAAGAACAAGTAGAATGCCTTTTGACCTAGTGGTTCAAAAAAGAAGAAAAAAGATGCCTTAATCTATCACCTAATTGAGAGTGAATATATAAAAGTATGAGATAATTGGAATCTTATCATCAATTATATGGGAAATCTGCTTTTGCTTTAATAAAGATTGTCTTTATGTGATGAGTAAGGAATCTATCAATGTCATCTTTATATTTGAATCACCTTTGTCAAAAGTAATTTTTGCTTTTTGATAAAGTAATTTACTTTAATCGAATCAACTTTAGTAAAGTTACTTGTACTTTTATTTTTTGTCATGTCTAACTTTACTTTTGAAAAAGCATGTATGAGTGTCATAATGTAAAATTACTAGTATGCTCCCTTCTCTTATAAAAGGGAGTGTCATTTATATTGTAAGGCATAACTTGTTCGATACTCATTTGAAGAAACAAAATTAGTGTGTTCTCTATCATGCTTCTCTTCTAAACTCTCCCTTCTCTCTTGAAAACTTAGTTCAATAACATCTTACTTCTATCATATCTATATTTAAATATGCTTTGCACCTGCCTCTTTGAAGAACCTACATATTAGAAAGAATACAACCATAATCTATAAGTCTGAGCCCATGTCACTACATTTAAAGATATATGGGTTGAAGTATCAAGGGATTGAGGTTCCTAAAGTGGCCCAAGTTTTTCCAGGAGAGATGTTAAGGGGCCTTACCTGAATCAATATACCCTGAGATATTTAGATTTAAGGATCTCTAGGTCTAAGCGAGCATAAGACCTGCCCTTATAGCTTCACGTGATCAAGGGAACAAATCAAAGGCCATGAATATAAAAGTTTGCAAAGATTGGTTTATATTCTCAATGAGAGATACACCTCTAAAAAAAATACCCACAACCACAAACTATATTATTTTGGATACTAGAGTGAAACCAAACAAAAAAGAAGAAATCATTTTCTAAATTTTTATTAAAGTAAAATAATTTTTATCTATATAATATCATAACTTATTTTTATCACCATGCATATAGTAATGCTTTCTACATCCCCTACTATACATATTAGGTACATGTTTGGTTTTTAACTTACACTCCCCAAAAGTCCATTTGAGAGAAGCCACCTTATGTTGAATTTGGCAAAAGTACACCTCAAATGTAATTATAGGGAGAATTTCAATATATGACTAGGGATGTGACATAATCACAAATGAGGCCTATGAAATCTCACTTAAATCCAAGAGGACTAAATGAAATTAATCTCAATGATAAAAAGACCCAAATAACCTTTTGAACATTAAAAAATCAAGGTGAAGTGTTGTTGTGAAATTAATAAGTGTTGTTGCGAAATTAGCAAGTTAGAAAATTAGCTAATAATGTTGTTGAGTTTAAGGAGTCAAAGATTAACAAGTCTTATTGCAGAATTAATAAGTAAAGTTAAAAAATTAATGAGTAACATAATTCACATTGAAGGAATAATAGATTTAAGAGTAAAGTTAAGAGATTAACAAGTCATGTTAGTAAAAGTTACATGATTAATAAGTAATGTAGTTAAATTGAGGGTTATAGATTTAATAAGTAAAATTAAATAATTAACAAGCTAAGTCAATCTTGCTGAGAAATTAAAAAGTAAAAGTGATGTGATTAACAAATAATATAGTTAGTTAAAATAATCATGAATTTAATAAGTTAAATAATTATCAACTCTTGTTGAAAAATTAACAAGTAAAAGTCCCATCAGTTCATGTAAGTAAAACAACCCATGTAAGTAAAGCAGCTTTTATGTACATGTACACATCCCATATATATATATATATATATTAATGAGTTGCAACTTTGTGAGTATGTCAAATATTTTGATTTAAATGGATGTTCAATTTCATGAGGATACTTGATCTCATGCTATTATAAGCACTGACGCAAAATTTTCTGTCAAGTCTAAACATGTGATTCTCTTTAAATTAATATTGTTGTTATTTATGTCTCCTTACTTATTAAAATATTAATAATGATTGTTAATTATCATGAGTGGCCACTTTTTGACAAACGATTCCGAATATGGTTCATGTGGTTTTTATTGTTATGATAGTTAACTCCTACTTCTCAATAAGCAACATTATGAACTTATAACAAGTAGCACAAGAAAATCAACAAGTTATATCAAGAAGTTTACAAATAATGTAAGGTATTTAACAAATTGTAATCATTGAATTTTACAAAGGTTATATAATTGACAAGTCACATCATAAACTTAATTTCATTTGTAAATTGTGTAATCTTACTTAAAAATGTCCTTACTATGCTTGTTATGTTTGGAATGTTATTTGTACAATATTTAACTCGTGTAAATCAAAATATGGCTCATTAAATGACCAGTTTTACAAGTATGCTATTTAATATAACTTGTAAATTTTCTTACATTGCTTATTAAATCCATAATATGACTTTTCAAATACTTAACCAATGTAAATCCAAATATAGCTAATTAAAGGACTAGTTTTACAAGTTAAATATCTAATAAGACTTATAAATTTTCTTGCATTGTTTTTGACATCCGTGATGTTACTTGTCAAATACTTAACTTGTGTAAATTCATACATAACTAATTAAATGACTAACTTCAGGAGTACAATATTTAATATGACTTGTAATTTTCATTACATTTGCTTGTTAAATCTAAGATGTTGCTTGTGTAACATCCATTATGTAAATTCATATATGATGCTTTTTTGGTGCTGACTGCCTATTTGATATTAGTGAATGGATGGATGCAAATCTTGAATTATATAGATGATCTATTATCCACTAAAACAAGTCAATCCTTAATACAGATAGCTCATCCTACATGACGAGTATTCATGTGATCAATATTTATACCAATTTACTTAACATAACATTAAATTGAGAGTGGAACTCATTTTCTGCCATGCTTTTCTCACGCCATCGACAACAACTTCAAAACTTTTAAACCTTCATTTATTCTTTTCATGAAATTCTTTTCCAAATTTTTTGAATTCTGTTACTTGTTCTTTCTTTACTTCCTTTGCTTTTGCCCTTCTTTCTTCTTGACCATATTTCTAGCCCTCTAAAATTAACATTAAGCATCCTACTAATAAACTAGAGTTACTTGTAAATTTCTTTACGCGACTTGTCAATCATCCAACTTCATTTGTTAACACATCTACAATAATTCTTTCAATAATTGTGCATGTTAATTTAGCATAGCTACTTGTAATTATGATTTCCGATAATGTAAATTGTAGTTACCATACTTATTCATATAGTCTAACAATTTACCAGCAAAAAAGCAGACATCTAGGTTGTAAAATTAGTATAAACAAGAAGTAAATTTTCTAATAACACTTGTTATTCACCAACCACAACTTTTTCATTCTTCTAAATCAAGTGAGTATTTCAAAACACAGATAACAGAGAAGCAACATTTGAAAAACAAAGACACACAACAAAGGGAAAAATCACAACAAAGAGGGGGAAATCACAGAAACGATTTACACAAACAGGGAAAAAAGAATGAGCTTACAAAATCGTCTGCACATTGCCCTTTGAGAACTTCAACAGCTTTAACAATGAGTAATGGGTGATTGCGGCTGAAGTGGTGGAGAAACTTCAAGACCTTCGGTGATTCACTCAAAACACGTTCAACCAGTGAAACAAATGCGCAAGCGTCAGGTGCCTTTGATTTCGATTGAAGAGCAGCTTCAACTTTACTCAATAATCAATTCCAAAGGGCCTTCCCAAAAAATGGAGTCTGACCATGAAAGAGAATAATGGCTGGGATGATGAATTTATTTTTCAGTCTAGAGGTTTTTCTTTGACGTTACTTTTTCCATTTCACTTCTAGGGGTAACTAGGTAATTTTCTAACAGGAATTGATTTCATTTGAGTTCCCAAATACAATCACCGCATAACTATATCAGAATTTATTGATTCTTTTGTGAACTTATCTAGCCTTAGTGGTCCTATAGTGAAATTCTCCATGGTTTGTATCTTGAAGCAAAGAGATATGATAAATAGCGTATTCTTATTTGTAATTGTCACATAGGGATATATCTTACTTCTAATCACCAGCAAAGACAAAATTATTCATATTTGGCGTAATATGCGGCCAGACAAATTGGAATGAAAGAATACAAAGGACGAAAGAAAAGAGAGAAGTGAGACCAACTGTCAACTTGCATTAACAAATCTGTCATCACTACATATCAGTCTCATATCACAAATATTATTACTCATGTCCATCTTATCTCTGCCCATTTCAAGCATCTCTCCTATTTGATATGGCAAGTGATTGAACTCAGTCACTTGTAAATTTGAAAAGGGTGAAGATTACAGCATTAATTTGCATTTATAAGAATTACAACAGACTAACTTTTGCTGCATATATATGCACAAGGATCATTAGAATAAGCTATTATGGATGGTACAAAGTTGAGAAGACAGGGAATAATGCCTATCCCTAATTCTAGACATTGTAAATGTGACTTAATTAAAACAAAAATTAAATTTACAACTCAGTCAATGCATTCAATGTCGTTTTCACGTGTTACCTCAATAGGATAAATCGTAGATGGCTTTAGACTTCCAGAATAGTACGTGGGTCCATATCCCTCCCACAAAGCTCTCATTCTTTTGTACGCATCAGCCATCTTTGGTCTCTGAGCCAGAGAAGGCTTAATACAGTCACGTGCTACTTCAATGAGACCAAAGATTTTCTCATCAAATCCTTTTCCAATAAGAGATTTATCAATGACATTGTAAAAATTGTAAGGACCACTGAACAAGTTACTACTGATCAATTTCATCAAAGAGCTGCTGCCAACACTGTCAGAAGAATCAGTAGTTGCACTCAATCTCTTCCCTGTTATGAGCTCAAAAAGGATAATCCCAAAGCTGTACACATCCTTCTCCACAGAACCCTTCTGCCCAAGTCCATTTATCATAAGCAGCTTTGTCCTCAAACGATCGTTAGTATGATTGATGAATTTTGCCTTGCCAAAGTTGGAAATTTTGGGTTCGAAATCTTTGCTGAGCAGAACACACTCAGAACTCAGATTGAGATGGACTATTTTGCACTTCTTGTGAAGCCAAGACAAGCCTCTGGCTAGTCCAAGAGCAATATAAACCCTGACAGACCATTCAAATACCATAGGTTGAGGTCCATCAGATTGTAGCCAATCTTGGAGCTTTCCATTTGACATGTATTCATAAACCAGAATCCTTTCCCTTTTATCCAGACAGAATCCAAGCAGAGGGACTATGTTTTGGTGTCTGTATCTAGCTGAGATCATCGTTTCTAACAAGAACTCTCTCTTGTACAATTGAGAATCATAGAGTCTTTTAACTGCCATGAAATAGTTGTTTGGTAGCCTGGCCTTATACACGATCCCTCTCACTCCAAATCCTAGGACATTGTCCGTGCTGAAATAATTTGTTGCTTCACATAATTCTCCAAAGCTTATTCTAGAAATCAACCTCTCCAACAATGCTGAGAGCTGTGGTTGAATTGTCACAGAATCAAAATGCATTAGCAAGGAATGCAACAAAATTTGAAAATTGCTGCATCTACTTTATAGATTACTTTCTCTGATTTGGTGGACAATTGGTTTGCCTGATTTGATATAATGTATGTTATTTAACTCCGTATGATTTGTTTGGCTACCACGTAATTACTCTGCCATTTTCAACTCTACTTTATATAGGAATGATGGTATGACTGCTAATATGACAAATAGTTTTATTATTCAAATTTGGAAGTAAATTTCAATTATTCCGTGAACAATTTGAGTCTTTCAATGTCATTACTTAGAAATCATCAGCAGCCACAGAACAGTATGAGACCATTCAAGATATAAATGAACAAATTTTTGAAGTTCTCACAAAGGGATCCTTCCTTGTTTCAACATTCCCACGATTATTCTGTTGCTTATATTTATCAAAATAGCAGATGGTGGTTTAATGGCAAAAGAACAGATCAAAAAAGTTGAAGGACACATGTAAACCATTGGCAGATAAAGTGATTAGCATCAGTAATAACAGAGAAAAAAGCACAATCTACCTACCAATCCTTTCAACATAAAATATTGTCAGAATCTTATTAGAAAATAAAAATTTCTAATGAGATAAATACTTGAGCATAGAAATAGCAAGAGGGAGGCAAGAGAGACCAAGATTACCTCTTTGGTTCCATGCTCTTGCAATGCCAATGGCAGCAACTCAGCAACATCTGAAGTACGAGGTTGATTATTCTGTCTCTTTCTTTGAAAAGATATAGCATTTCTCCTCCTTTTCTTCAAGTCTCTCCAAGGTTGGTAATAGTACATAAAAGAAACTATGGCTGATGTTGCTGAACAAACATAAGCAATAGCAAAACTATACCAAAATGATCTATCAGAAGATTTGTTTTCACATGGTTCTAGAGTGTGCCCACAAAGACCACTATTATTGGCATAACTCAAGCTTACTTGAGGACTTCTGGTAAACACTGGCACTTGCCCTGACAAAAAATTGTTGGCAACATTGAAAGATTTGATTTGAGGAAGCAACCCAATTTCTTGAGGGATTTCACCAGATAGCTGGTTTCCATCAAGTTTAAGGGTCATCAGCGAATATAATTTGGCAACACCCTTTGGAATTTCACCTGAAATTTGATTTGTGGAAAGGTCAAGTGTCTGCAGTACTGAACAATTTTCAATGCCATGAGGGAATGATCCTTTAAGCCACATATTAGAAAGCTGAAGACCTGATACTCTATGTTCACCAATGACCATGCACTCAACACCAGTGAATCCACAAAAGTACCCTTTGGTATTTCTGTTGAAATCCCAGTCAAATAACTGATTAAATGGATCAATTGACTGTTTAATGGATCTCAAGCAATGGATATCACTCTCAGAACCATGGCCTGTTGTGAAGAGACAGGCCAATAGCAAGAAAAAGCAGGGAAGAAAACTGAAAGATCTTGTTTTAGGAGCCACTTCTATAAGCGAAAATGAAGAAACTGAAACGGGGTTCATTTGCAAAATTCTTGAATTCAAAATGGTATTTGTTATCAGCAAACTCTCAGAGATGAAAGATTTGAAGATCCAGATCTTAAGCATGTAAGAAACTCTAAATCTATAGGATCAATGAGCTGGACATGAATTGGAAAGTAAGCTCTTTGTTTTCTGTAATTTTTAATTTCTCAATCGGAGAGAACCATTGATCAATTCTTAACTCTGGCTTTCTGTGCCAATGTTTTCAGCCCTCATTTAAAAAAAAAAGGTTGAAAACTTCATACCCTAACCTACGTAGCAGTTAGATAGAAGTTCCTGTGGGTCCCTGGCAATAATAAACAATTAAAATGCGTTGATTGTTATAAATTTAGCATTATTATATAGATCATAACCAGCCAACCAGGGCTGTAGTTTGTTAGATGAAAGTCTAACAAATATTACACCCACGCAAATTTAGTCATATGGCAAAATTGTAAGTATTCAGATGCTTTGTGTCCGATACAAATGCAAATACATATTAAACACAAACGTAACCCCTTGTATGAAATGTCCAAGCATAGCGTCACCAATCTTAGAGAACTGTAGTGCAAAAGCAAAGAAGCAAATCAAAGTCTTTCTTTCTTTTTTTTTTTTTTTAATTGGTGAATCAAATCAAAGTCTTTCCATCACTTAAAAGTCCAAGTCTAGGTGTGACTTTGGCATAACGGATAGGACCATCGACATTTTTTTTCAATTTATTTCGTACCCTTCTCGATCATTGTAATGAACGTCGACGGCAGTATTTTCATAACCGAATTAAATATTAAATTAAAAAAATTAATGATTCACGATTTACATGATTCAAGATCGAATAGATAATATAATAATTAAATTAAAAAAATTATACATAAATATATATAATAATAATTTAAATATAAAAATAAATATTATTACATATCTTAAAAATAAAATTAAATATTTTAAATTTATTATAATTTAATAAAATAAATAATATAATATAATATTAAATGATTAAAAAAGGAGTCACCTTTCACCAAAGACAAAAAAGGTCATTTTTTGATTCATCTGATGTCTAACTATCTAATCCTACCTAACTCTTCAAATAATTTTTTTTTTTAATTGATTAAACTGTTAGCCTGATCGGTTGGTCTAATCATTTTTCGGTGGGAAGACTACGAATGTAAAATGGATAAGACAGGTTGGGTCAAGTTTTGACAAAGTCTTGAGCTCCATTTTCCATCAAATCAAACCAACTTCAATAACGGTATGGGAAATTTCCGATGCAGCATCTTATAGTAATTGACACTTGCAATTTTTTTATCTTCCTTTGCGCCGGTGGTGTGAATTACGCAACCCCAAGCACTGTCACTTCTTCTTCATGGTGTTCGGTTTCGGTGCTCTTTACTTAATGAACATCTAGATCATTTAAATTTTTAATATGGACCATTTAAATTTTATAAAATTTATTTTTTTAATTTTATTTTATATTTATTATAAAAAAATATAAAATTTTAATAAATCTACTTTCTGATCAATCTAAGCAATATATATTTAATTTGAGTAGTTTAATTTAATATTATTTTTTAAAAAAATTATAAATTAATTATTCAAAAATACTTTAAACAGATTGGATTCAGAGTATATATAAATAGTCAATTTATAATTTTTTTAAAAAAATTAATATTAAATTAAATCATTCAGATTAAATCTATATTGTCTAGATTGATAATAAAATAGATTTATTAAAATTTTATATTTTATAATTTAATAAATATATGTTAAAATATAAAAAATAAAGTGATAAATCTGGACTGTCCATTGCTCATCCAATGATGAGCACGAATGCTTCTTCAAATCCATTAGGGTTTAGAAAACTTAGATTGACAAAATCTAAAATTTTGAAGTTAAACAAGTCAAAGAAAAGAAGCTGACCAAGTAGTTTGGTTCAATTAGTTAAAAAAGTTAAATTAATTTATTTTAAAATTTCAAGTTTAAGTCATAAGATATACCATTATATTAAATAAATATATTAAAGATATCCCTAGACTATCTACAAGGATGGAAACAAAGCAAGAAAGATAGAGTACCTCTTTGTCTTTCAACAGCACAATCCATCACATTCACACAGCCATAAAATTGGTCATTTTTTCAAGTTTGATTTATATTTTTAAAATTAGGGTTGGACACCTAACCTTGCTGTAAAATTTTTATTTTCAATTTTTTATATTTTTGAAAATTTATTTTTTATATTATAATATTACATTTTTTAAAAATACAAATTATAATATTCAAAAATTAAAAACAAGAAGTATAAATTCTAATTTAAAAATATAAACATATATTTTGAAGCCTAAATTTAATTTAAAAATTAAATATATTTTATTTTTTAGAAAAAAATGAAAAAAGATCTAAATAAAACGCCTGAACTCAAGCATGTCTTTTCAAGGTTTAATAGAGCAAGGCATATAAATCTAATTATCCCAAAAAATTTTGATTTTGTAAACCGAATCCTTAGAAAAACATGGTTAAATGAGCAAACCATCAAACCTGATCATTATTCTCAGCTCTACATGTATGCATGCATGAATGCATGTGTGTGGGGGCAAAAGAAATAACCAAAGTAAAATCATCCGTAAGTGATATATGAGGAGGTTTTTGGTGAAGATGGAAGATAGGATGCGACTATATATAGAAAAATATTGGCAATGCGAAATTATTCTAAATCCCATATATTCTATTAAAATTTATTAGAAATAGTTTTTACTCTTTCAAAATTAGTTCCTCTAAATACAATTGATATGCTAGAATTAATTAATTTTAAATTAAAAAGTGCTAACATCAAAAATTAAAGAGTGTTATAATATATTATAAAAAGTAAACGTATCCTCACTAAGTACACACCATATAAGGGTTAAGAATTGACCTCACAGAAGGGGTAAATGTAACTATATTATGAGTCTCACGTTGGAGATAGATAAGTGTGGTTTATACGTAAAATATTTGTTAAAAAAAAATTAATTTTTTTGAAATGAGTTTTTCCTTTGAACTTATACTGTTGCAACAAATTAAAATGTTAAAATTAATCCTTTTTTAAATTTAATATGCCTTTAATTTATTTTAATAATTGATGTTTTTTAGACTTTATGAATTCTAGCAACGTAGTTTAGATAAGATCATATAATTGATCGAGAAAATAGTGATCAATATTATTATGAACTTTCTAGAGGCCGGATAAATAGAAACAAATAGTTTCTTCAGAACATTTCCCCCCGAAAATTTAGTAGTGTGCCTTGGATTTCATCAAACGTATGTTCAAGAAGACGATGTGTTTGATTTTTCAGCACACATGCACGCACACACATACCAACAAAATATGTGAACAATTAACTAGTCAATTTGTCATTGAATGAGATATTGACGCGTGGCCCATGCCGATCCTTCGTATGCATCTCGACCTAAGTTAACGCAAAAACTAGCGCGTTCCATGGAAGCTTACAAGGACATGCATGGAAGTTTCAACCTCGGAGAAAATTATGGTCACGGAGAATTATAGGCGAAGAAGATGATGATGAAATTGAGATTTAGATTCGGTGCCTATCTTTAATTAATATAGACATTGAGTACTTATATCATTTGAACAGTTAAAATTTATATCAACTTTAAAATTTATATTTCACTCAAAATTAATAAATAACTAAATTTAATTAAATTATTTATCTAAATTTCAACAATTTAAATAGAACAAGTACTCAATGCCTATATCAGGGGCAGGCATCGGATTCAAATCCATGAAATTGCAACACCATTAGTCTATTAGTGTAAACTACGGATCTTTGGCAGGTGACTTTTACTTACATCTCCTCGCAGATATTCAATTTCTTTTTACCATATTGTGAGGTATAAACTCTTTCTATATGCTAGACTCAATCTTGATTAGTTGATAATTTTTTTTTAAGTTTACTCTTATATCCTTCCAAATTTCATCAAGAAGAAAAATGATATTTGCATGTATAATAAACAGTAAAATTTTATTCATTAATATTGTAAATTGGTAAGGAATTAATAATAACACCAATAATGAATGGTGAAAAGTGAATTTAGTTTATATGTATATATATATATATATATATAATTTTTAATCTTACTTTTGTTCGTTTTTGAGAAATATATAAAATTGATATATACTTATGCGATTATTGAATTATTTTTAACTAATAATTTATTTTTCAAAAGCTTTATGTATTTTTTAAAAAAAATGTTGAAAAAATATCGAAAGGCTAGGTTAGTTATAACCACAATATAAAAACCTTATATCCCAATAACTGATATTGGAAAAAATACCCTGTTTCAATTATTATTATTATTATTATTATTTATTATTATTATTATTATTATTATTTGGGTCATAAACTATGAGACCTGCTTAAAATAATATTGGATATATATGTACATATATAACTATCAAGATCTATAGTTGAAATTGATACCCACAAATGGGGGGCCGGAAATCACATGCATATTGGTTTCTCCGAAAGCTCGAGTTGGAATTTGGATCGTGAAATGAACGTTCTCTCCAAGATTAAGACAAGACCTTCTGTCATAGAATTCTCGGAATATTACTATATATGCCCATGTCAATATCTCTTTCTTCCTCAGACGAAAAGTCGCCGTGAATCTCTCACAGAAACTACGATTTACATTAAAGCAAGATACCAACCTACGTACATAGATTTTACTTATACGTACGTAGTTTCTCCCAAAAAGTTTGACGTTGGCAGAAAGAAAAACAAATAGAAAGATTTTTTTTGGGTCCAATTTTTGTATTCTGAATGTAATATTGCTGCTGCGTGGCTCGATGGAAAGGACAGCATTATTCATGGCTAGAGCTGTTTTATACTTCTCTTTGTCTTTCAAAACAAAACTAGAGTTGGGACTTAGTTCCACAAAGAAATTAGTGTCCGTTTGATCAAATTTAATGGTAGGTGCTAGGTGCTCTGTTTTAAATAGTTGATGTTTCATTTTATACCATCTGATAGTATATGTTATTCAGTGTTTTTGAAAAAATAGTTCATTATTAAATTTACACTTTTATCCTATTTTTAAAATATAAATTAAAAATCTTTCTATCTTCACCTCTTTCATTGCATGAATGCATATACATATCTCGTAGCTCATTTCCAAACATTGACGTACATTCAATCTCCATTTTTCAATTTGTTTTTATCATTCTTGTGCAAGGATTGTATTAATTTTTTCTGTTTCGTTCCAATTTTATTATTAGATGTCCCTAGAGAGACTTTTGTACACATTGAGTCTACATGTATGTTTGGATAAAGCGTTAGGCGGCCTGAACCTTCGAAGAATGCATTGTGAGCGTGGTCGAATTAAAAGTGATTATTATTAAGCTTTGAGTAAGCCAAATCATGGATTTACTTTCTTTTCTAAAAATATGTTCAGTGAGGCATGATAATATCTTTAACCTTTTTTATAGTACTATTATGTGGGTGGTTCAAATTAGAGTGTTCATTCTGTATATACAAGTTTAAGTCTGTAAGAACCTCAACCAAGTTAATTCTCAACAATATTATAAAGAAACCCAAGATATATCTTTGGTAAAGTCTATTATCGATTAATTTACTTCCCACATAAAACTACCGTAAGCCTGAGCTACTTCACTAAAAAAAGCCATATCATAACTAGAATGATTTCTTTGGTAATTACCGTACTTTAGGTTAGAACATAGGAAGGAAATATTATTATATGGATATAAATTTAACCATGAATATTTAATTGACAATTTTAGTTATTAAAAAATTATTTATAAACATAAACTATACGTAGCATATAAGAAAATATTAAAATGAATTACACATAAGTTCCTCACAAATTTTGCTATCTTAAATTGTCAATAAATCCTGTAATATTTAACTGCATGATATTTAAGTGTGTTGCGAGAAATATCAAAATGATTCTCCCAAAACCGATACGAAAGTTATCCCATGATCTAGTGGCATGGGCTTGAGGTGTTGGCGTGTGGACCTGAGGCATTGCTGATTGGGCCTTAGGCATGACCTTATGGCATATTCTATGGATCCTCAATGAATGAAAAAGTTAAATACTACAACATGCCCGTCCCCAATCTCCATAAATATTATGTTGTGTCTTACACACACCCGTTGGGAGCTAAGGTTCGAGGATCATTGTCTTGTTAACTTGAACAAAACTCAAATTGTAAAGCAAGAAACTGAGTAAACAACGATGATAATAAACACAGTAAAAAAAATATTATTAACAATAGTCATTCTTAAACGAACTATTGAAAATGGTAACAAGGGTGAACGATTATATACTCTTTAGGCAATTAATTATTTTGATTGTTATACATTGTACAAGCTTACTCGATCGAGCTAGTGATTTTTTTTTTTTATGGTCTATACTCCACATAATTGTTGAACACAATAGTGACTTGCCACAAAGTCTTAAGAGCTGGAGCCTCTTATTATGCTACTAAGAAATATTGACCAAGTTTTATGACCATGCAATATCTGTCTACCGATCACATAACTTGGGAGAATTGTGATTGAAACTATAACTTTAAATGGGTCAAGTCCAAATCAGAAGGTTATAATTAATCCATATATACAAAATAATTATTTTTTATAATTATAAGAAGTAAGATCCGTTGACAGTAGAAAATATCCCTATTGTGATAACGCAAAAGCTGAGAGAAATATTATAACCGTGTACTATTCAGAAAAACTTGAACGTGTCTGTTACGAATATTGCACTTGCATGGAGTGATTACAAGTGGGCCTTTATACTTAAGTAACTAATTCAACAACAGACTAACAGAAAAGCCCAACGAACATATAACATTAATAACATATATTTTAAAAAAAATTAATCTTTTAATCCTTTAACTTTTAATTTACTTATAACTCAGCCCTTCAACTATGACTTGCTGTGACTCAGTCCCACAACTATCACTCGTTACGACTCAATCTCTCAACTTTTGATTCATCTATAATTCAGTCTTTATTTTTTAATTTTTTTTAAAAAAATTTCTTATCAAATAAGAGGGATAAAAAAATGCTCATATATTATTCTAAAATACCTTCTCTTGCTCATTGATGTGAGATATAAGCTAACATGAAAAAAATTAATAAAAATTTAGGGATTAATTTGTAAGTAATTCAAAAGTTGAGGGACTAAATTATAGGCGAGTTATAGTTGAAGGATTGAGTTATAGCGAGTCATAATTGAAGGACTGAGTTACAAATGAATTAAAAGTTGGAGGACTAAAAGATTAATTTTTCTTATATTTTAATATGAGATACTAAGAGTAATAGGTAGACTTTTCCAAATTAAATTGTTACATACACAATAACTAAGATTCAAACCATTAACTACTTGTTTAAATAACAAGAGCATACAACTTATATCTATTTTAACTAGTACAGAATAACTCTTTATCATCAATTGTTTATTGCTTAATTATTATCATTTGTTTCCCAAAGCATATAAAGCCTAGGGGAGTAAAATCTATAGTTTATTAGTTATTACAACGAAAGTTTAAAAAGCAAATTTCTCTGGACACTACACACTTCGCTCGTATGGTAAACAAAATAATCGAAGAAGTGGTCAAATTAAAAGGACAAGTATCTAATTTTGACCAATAGGAATACTTTCTTTCAACGTTCCACACCTCCTCGTGCATGCAATTTTTTTTTTAAGTTTTAACTCATTTTTTCACTAAACCAACATCCATAAATATCATAGAAGATATATTAAATTGTTTTAATTTGGAGTCATCTGAAATTCTGAACAGGTAAATTGCTACTTCCCCCTGGCCATTTGGAAGATAATTTTGGAGGTGATTAGGTGTTTTTGAATATAATACAATTTGTGAATTTGATAAAAATAAAATTTTATTAAATATACTTTACTAATATTTCCCTAAAATTATATTCAATGAAGAATATTTTTAACTATTTTTATTTTTATTTTTATTTTAAAAAAATTATAAAATTTAAAGTACATATAAAAAGTTTCATTGGTATACATAATTTTATTTAAAATTGTCTTATGAGCGAGAACATAAGAGCATAATTTATCGATGACATGAGATGTACTGTGACACTCGATCTTGATGAGAAGTGTAACGGGAACGGAGGAGTATAATTTATCGAAATTAAACAAACACGATCAGGCTCTGTTTTTTATTTCCTGAGTGATCAAAACCAAAGTACACAATGACACAACCAAACATAACCATCTGAAACACATCCATATTCACGACCAGCTTCCACTTATCCACACACGTATACAAGCATAATAAACCCTAGAAGCTAGTCCCACTTAATCTTCTTTTAGACTCTTTCTGAAGCTGAGTGGGACTTGGAAGAAAGGATTATCATATGGACGTTCACCAATATAATTCCCCGGAGGGTCATAGTTGCAGCTGATAAGAGTCCCACCATTATTGTCACACCTGACCTTAGCACAACCGACCCGAACCGAGTTGCGCCACACCACCTGAGTGTAGTGTCGGCACTCTCCTCCGACGCACGAGTTGGAGTTGTAATCATAGAACGGCCGCTCATCCACCCACATCTTGACGGCGGCGGTGCCGGTGAGGTCGGGGTAGCCCCAGGCGAGATTCTCGCCGTAGGGACCGCCGGAGTGAACCATCTGGCAACTGTTTCGGAACTGGCTCAGGTAGTTGCGAGCGTAGGAGGCTACCCTGTTGTCCCATGAGATGGGTCCGACGCCGACCTGGCGGCGGGCGGCGTTGTGCGCGTTGACGAAGTCTTGGGGTGAATCTTGAGCGTCGACGACCGAGATTTGTGGGATGGCTAAGACGACGAGGAGAAGAAGAGAGGTTGGGATAGTACGTCCCATTGTGACTAAGGAAGTATTGGCGCTTGTGAATATGGAAGGAGATGGGACGTGTATATATGGATGTTATGTTAGCAAAGCCAGCGTAATCGATGAAGGTATATGATTGCTTAAACATGAGATTTCGAATTTTTCAAAAAAGTTATCTTTAATTAAGTTTGACAATATTTAATTATGATTTCATTAGATAGCTATGTAAAATAAATATTAGATATCTGTTTTATTAGCAATGCATATGCCATATTTAATTTTAAATAAACTACTTATATATATTTTTATTTATTTAAAAATATACTTAGATTTATTATAAAATTAGTCATAATTAAGTGTCGTAAAGTTTCAAGAATACTCTCTCCACTCCTTAATATAAAATGTATTTTGAAAGTTTCTTTGATTCTAAATATAAGACGAAATTAGTCTAATTTATATTTTTTCCAACTTTACTCTTTATTTATTTATTTTTATTTAAATTCATAAACAATAATTTATTACATATAGTTATTAATCATAAAAAGAATAAATTTATAAATTTTTTAAATCTTTTATAATTTTAAAGTTATAACTAATATTTCTTAATCAGTGCAAAGTTTATTAACTTCATTTTATATTAAGGATACACACACACGCACACACAAATGAAACATGATTCTAGTTTAAAAAAAAAATTGAAATAGTAGGATTTAAATAGCGCGTGGTAGTTAATGGGCCAGGCGGCTTCAGTTTGGTGCACGCAGCACGTTCCACGGTACAAGTGGGAGATTTAAAAAAATAAAACCAAAAAAAAAAGGGAGAGATAATAATTGTAATTTGTTTAGCCACTTGGTATTTAATTTATAATAATCAAACGCTTCCAAGGATTCTTTTTTTCTTTTTCTGCCAAAACCTCCAAGGAGTTTCCGGTAAGTTACCCAACTTGTTATTTCAATGTACAATTTGTTATTTAAAAGTGTAGAAATATTAAAAATTAAATAACTTAGATTTCATTGCACTAGAAATTTAACGATAACAACTTATAATGTATTACATCTTTTTTGTTAATGAAATGTTAAATAGTCTTAATTAATACTCTACTTTACTAAAACTTAAAATAAAAGATATTTGTTGACAAAAAAAAACAAAACTATAAAATGACAGTTATTTTATACGCAAAAAAATAAAAATATCATGAATAAAAACAAAAATAGAAGGGTTCATCGCTTGTCGATTGATGCCATGCTATATATAACGAGCATGCCTGTTTTTAGATTGTAGTCTCTGCATGAAAACTAATTCAAGAATTTTATATGAAAAAAAATTAATTTGCAGGTCTTTCTAATTTTCATCAATTTTAATTAGGTTTCTATAATTAAATTTATTTTATTTTAATCAAGTTCTTATAGTTTGATCAATTAAATATATTAGTCTCTGAAGGTTATGATTATTAACAAATGATTAAATTTTATAAACAAAAATCCTTTTAAAATTTATAGAAAAATTGATTTAATACTTTTAGCTGAAAAAGTAAAAAATAAAATGTGATTCAATACATTATTTATAATTTTTTAATTTTTATGAAAATTCTATACATAAAAAAGTTATTGAAAAAATATAACCCAATTATATAAATTTGGAGTTATAAAAATTATTTAATTAATTTAAAATTAAAACAAGAGGACTTAATTAAAATAAAATAAACTATAAGGAGCTAATTTAAAATAGAGAAAAATTAGAATAGCCTGCAGATTAATTTTCCTTTTATATATATAAGAGCGACGTTATTTTCAAAGTTGTTGAATCTGATTTACTATAAATAGTTAAATAGTACAATATGTGAAGGTTATGCATACCCGCAAGTTAATACGCACGTCATGAAGAGAGTTCCGTTCTTTCTTTTTTTCTTCTGGATAGGGTTTTAGTTTTCTCTAACAGCGACTTGTGTCCCAATTCCTACTCCACAGAAATATCGTTATTAATGTACTTACATACAAATTTCTTCTTTGCATATAATTTTTTTTTTGGCACAATGTTTTACTTGCAATAATTAGTGTATAATAGTACTCTTAATTAATTTTTTTTCAATTATAACAATATCATGGCAACCTATATATATATATATATGTATTGATATATACACGTAAGCACGTTATCGATCTTATTGAAAATGAAAGAGATTTTTCATGGCGCACTTATTGATGAGCATCCATACATTTATTAATTTTAAATTGAGGAATAATATATTTCCTGAACTGTTTAATATGTCATCGAAATTCGACTGACCAAATTTAAGACGAAATGTTTTCCTCTAGTTGTTGCATACATGTGATTATAGCCCTCTTATTAATCTATCAGATCATCGATTTGCACAAGGCCACCAGAAGTATATTGATTTTCATATGTATCAATTTTAATTTTGCTGGCCGAGCTTTGAAATAACTATACACCATAGGAATATACCTATTTTAATTTTAATTTTCATATATATATATATATATAATGAATAAATATCATTGCCTTCAATAGGAATAACTATATACAATAAAAAAAATATGATTTCTAAATCGGAGTCTAAATTTAAAATATTGTAACCTCTTTCAATTCTTTTAATTTGGATACTTTGCAATATAATAACATGTACAATTATAATTTATAATCACATTTTTTAAGAAATTTTAACTACTTCAATAATAATTGATATAATCACTTTTCTAAATTTTAATTCTATTTGTAAATCACTTCACCGCATGTTTTACCAAAATTATGAAAGAAAAAATTAATCTTTTAATCCTTTAACTTTTAACTCACTTGTAACTCAATCCTTCAACTATGACTCGCTGTGACTCAATCTCTCAACTATAACTCATTGCAACTCAATCCCTTAACTATAATTCGCTTCAACTCAATCCTTCAATTTTTAATTTACCTATAACTCGGTCCTTATTTTTTAATTTTTTTTAAAAAAATTTTATCAAATAAGAGGGATAAAAAAATGCTCATATATTATTTTAAAATACCCTTTTCTTATTCATTAATGTGAGATATAAGCTAACATGAAAAAGAAAATTAACAAAGATTAAGGAACTAATTTATAAGTGATTCAAAAGTTGAGGAACTGAGTCATATATGAGTTATAGTTGAGGGACTGAGTTACAAGTGACTTAAAAGTTGGAGGACTAAAAAATTAATTTGTCCATTGAAAAAATGTCTAAGTAGACATATATGAAATCCAATCCGATGACTTTGATAGTAAAAGCTCAATTGGCCACGGAACTTTACACATGATGACCAAGTGACCAACTAGAGCTAATTTAGAAAAGTTCTCCAAAGGCTGCGTCTTCTTTCAGCCGCCACATTATTTAAATTCCTGTTATTATTAAGTATAATAACCATGCATTCTTAATTGATTTTGTCCTTATTCAATTAATTAACTCTAAGTAATAACAAAGGTCACTTTCTTTATGAAACAAATTTAAGATAATTTTCTGTTTAACTTGTAATTTCTTGTTGTCAAAATGTATATATGAATAAGTACTAAGTATATATACTTTTTCATGTCCTAATAATTATATATATATATATTATGGAAAATTAAATTAACTTTAAGAAATGATAGTTAGTAATATCCTTCAACTTATAGGAAAATATATGACTTTTTAATTTTATCCTCCATTAAAATTAATTTCCATAACAAAGTATTTAATTAAAAAAAACCCAATTTTCATGAAACATCATGAAACAAAATAAGCTCTTTGCCATATAATTAGGATAGATTATAGGGAGTAGTGGAGTATAGTCCCTCCAGTCCAAATTACAAGATATTTTCAGCTAAACTTGATTCAAAATTTAGGACATTTAGTATTCAACATTATTTTTCAAATTTATTCTTTTATTAATTAATATGAGCATGAGAAATATAATCACCTTATTAAAAACTTCTTATCACTCTTCATAACACGATTAAAGGAAAAAAGCTAAAGATATGTCATTTTTTCATGAAGATAAGAAAACAAACTCTTGTTATTAGTATGTAAAATATGGTTGAAAGTAGTATCTTATATCTTTTATCACCTAAGCCCAAAATTTGGTTATTCTTTTCAATTTTACCCTTAATTTAATTCCTCAATTTTATAAAGCCAAAACCCTTTATATCTTAAATTTGGTTTGAAAATTAAATGCCTTTCAAATTTGACCGAGTTACTTAGCAATTAAAGTTGGCTTTGTTCTCTCTTTTTTGGTTCAAAAAAAAAGGTCTGCTTCTTTTTATTTCTCACTCCTTCAATAAGTATATATACCTAAAAACTTATCATAATCTTTTTTTCCTAAAACTCCGAAGAGACTCTTGTATATAAAAAGAGAAAATTATATAAGAAAAATGATAAGTAAGGATCTTATAAATATATTAATGCCAAATCAAAAACTTCAGTATTAAACATGGTAAAAGGATCACTAAAATTTGAGAACATAAATGTTGAAAAATCTTAATTTGACGCTAATATCCTTATAACGTCCATATTTGTCATTCTCCCAAATATGTACTACCTAAAACAGATTCTTATAAATAGAAATAGAGAAGGGAGATTCATCAAAGTCTCATAGACTCATGAAAAGTATAGAAAACACACACCATCAAGCTCTATTTTTTTTTTTATTTCATTTGTGATCAACACCAAAAAAGCACACGACGAACGTGGGCTTCTTAAACACAATTTTTCAATTCACATATACAATCGAGCCAGCAACGTCGTCCCACTTAATCATCATGTTTTGCGAAGCTGAGTGGAACCTGGAACAGAGGATTATCGTAAGGACGCTGACCAATAACGTTACCAGGAGGGTTATAGTTGCAACTGATCAGAGTCCCACCATTGTTATCGCACTTGACCTTAGCACAACCGACTCGAACCGAGTTACGCCACACCACCTGAGTGTAGTGCCCACACACTCCTCCGACGCACTTGTTCGAGTTATAGTCATAGAATCGCTTCTCTGCCACCCACATGTTCACAGCCGCCTTGCCGGTCAGGTCCGGTTTTCCCCAAGCCAGGTTCTCACCGTACGGGCCGCCTGAGTGGACCATCCGGCAGCTTCTCTTCAGCTTGTTCAGGTAGTTGCGAGCGTACGAAGCTAGCCTTTCGTCCCATACAAGGGGTCCAACCCGGACCTGGCGGCGGGCTGCGTTGTGGCCGTTGAGGAAGTCCTGCTGCGAGTCTTGAGCGTCGGAGACTTGTGAGATGGCTAAGACGACGACGACGATCACGAGAAATGAGGCCGGGATAGTGATAGAGTTACGTCCCATTGTGACTTGTGAGGACTGAGTAGGTATTGGTGAAGATGGAAGAAGATGGGATGTATGTATATATAGATTATTTAGCATTGCCATGTTTATTTCAAAAGAGTACAGTGTGGGCCTGACCTATTTGGCTGACCAGGTTGACCGTGAAATTAAAAATTTCAGCTCGGCGGCTGATTACTCCCTGAGTGAATAGTTCATGGGTCAGGCGGCGTCAGTCTGGTTTGGTTGCACGTGAGAAAAAAATTGGAAAAATGACGCCTAAATCCCACAAAATAAATTTACGGGTTAAAGGGCATAAAATGTCCGGAGCTTTTTATACAAAGGTGCTTGAAATTCTAAAATTTTTTTTGAAGCGTTTTTACTCTGAAAGTTTCAATAAAAGAGTACTTTAGCCCCACCGTTAAAAATCAAAAACATTGACCAATGATATTTTTATATTTTTTTTTTCCTTTCTTCTGTGTCTAGTCTCCCGTTTTGTTCTTTAGTGAATTTTTTAGCTTTTCTTCTTTCAATGAATGAAAACAAAGGATGAAAAATGCGTAAACGAAGGAAGGAAAAATTGTAAAAGACTTTATTCAAACTTCAATTAAAGTCAACGTTCCCCATATTTAATAGTGGACAAAAATGTTCTCTTTTTTAAAATTCTAAGACAAAAATGCTTTAAAAGAAAAGTTTAGAATGCTGGGCACTCCTAAAGTAAAAATTTCAGGACATTTTTGCCATTTAATCTTAAATTTAATTACCAAAAAGTTTTAAAATATACAAAATACTTCAAAGTTTCAAATACTATACATTTACAGTTGGGTAAAAGAAAATGACAACTGGATAAAGAAAAATAACAACTTCACAAAATAAAATGACAACTTGAATACAATTTCATCCTTCCAGTTAATGAATCAAAGTAAACCTTGCTTATGTATCACTGTACTGATGGGATTAACTCTGTGAATTGTTGCTTATGTGGCACCATATCAGCACCACCTCAGATTTACAAAATTAAATGAAAAATGACATCTGAAAATACAAACGAGGATCGAAGAAGAGAAGCAAATTGCGAAAGTAACCGTGGATGACAGCATCACTTTGACTCTCGGCGTCTCCCTCAGCGGCATGAAGTTGTTATTCTCATCTCATCTCCCTTTCTTGATTCCGAAGATTGGTACCGTTCATAGGATCATCTCCTTCCTTGTCAACATTGTTAGATATATCTTCACCGTCGAGCTGAGTCATTTTTTAATTAAAAAAATAATTCCCCCCCCTATATGTGTGACTATTATTGCTAGTTTTCTTGCTGCATGTTTTGTATTTTTTTTTCTGCTGCTGGCTTGGATTACTTGCTGGGAAATTGACTGTTTCTGTTTCTGTTTCTTGGTTTCTAATCCTTGATTTTTGGTTCAGATTCATTATATTTTTTAGTAACAATTCTGCTTCATTGATATGCATCATTCCTCCTCCTCCTTTTCTTGTTTTTCTTAATGAAATTTCTAGGAATCTAAACATGATTTAAGATATCAGATACTAACACCAACATGAACAATAATTGGCATATGATTCTCCAGTAATGGGGGATATGATCTCCTACTACAGCCATCAGATCCTTCGACGGAGAAACCCCAACCTTCCATTCTTTTTCCTCTTCTTCAAACACGGACTGAATTTGTATTTGTTTATAATCATGACGGGGGGCTTGATCGAAGCAGGAATGATTGACGAGGAAGATGGTACAACGCTTGGCATGAAGTGGAGAGTAGTGGCCGTGAAGATGATAGGGAAAGCTGAATTGTCTTGCTCAAAATATGACTTGAATGACTGAATTGTCATGAGTTAAACTTGAAGGACTAAATCATAATTGAATTAAAAGTTGAAGAACTAAATGATTATTTTTTTAATTTTTTTAATTGAAACACCCTATTAATGGTAATAAATATGAAAAGATTGTAATTTTATTTTTTTAAAAAATTAACTAATGTATTAAAAATATATAATTCAATTAAAAATATCTTATAATCTTAAACAGACAAAATATATTTGGAGAGGAGTAAAAAATTGTTTAGTTCATTAATTTGCCAACAAAAAAAAAATTAAAATTACTTTCCTTTCTATCGCTGTTCCTCTAGTAGCGCTCGTACATTTAATTCTAATGTTGTTTTCTCTATCTTTCACACCCTAATTGAGACCAAGGGCGCCGAAGTCATCATTAACCATGTCGGAGTATATCCATTTCTTCTTTCAGAAAAGTCAATGAACTTGACAAAAACTTATGTGTTTTTAAAACACATTAGAAAATTTATATTTCAATTCATGTGTCTTTTAAAAAGTTCAAAACAGTATTTTTTTAAAAAAAATATTTTTAATGATATACTCTTATTTATTTTAATAATTTTAGAAAGCATTTATTAAGTTTTAGAGATACATTTAACGATTTAGATATACTATTTCAATAAATATTTCATGACTCTTAATTTGAAATAGATAGCGTTTTATCCGTGCCAGTTAGTTAAGCAATTTCTTTGTTTGTCTCCAATGACTTTTTTCTTCTCTTTCAGCCGCCACATTATTTAAATGTCAATTTTAACCATGCATTCTTAATTGAATTGTCCTTATTCAATTAATTAACCCTAATTCATAATACATGTCACTTTCTTTTGTTTATTCCCAGAATATTAAGTAGGAAAAATATAAGCGTTGGTCGATGTACGTACTGTTAATGTATTTTTGTATTAGTTGTTATGCTTTTTTTCCGCCCTCGAAGTCCTTTAAATTCCATTAATCTGCAACATTAGTTCCTATCATTATTGACAAAATTAAATCTGCTAATGTATACATAAGTTTGTTAATTCTATTGTTGATTGGGTAAAATTATAACAAGTTAGATGTTATATGAATCAAATGACCACTGAATTTTCTGTATGTTTGCCCTAATTGTTGTGTCGTCTTCTTCTTCTTTTTAAACTTCATCCATTAGTGCATATTAATGGATTGCTATGATTTAATATCCTACTAGTCTTTTTTTTTTGGGCCTCCTACTCATTCTTTTTATATAACTCATTATAATTTTAACCAGTCAGCATAAAATTAATAGAGTTTATATGCATGTTAACTATTGTTACGTTTTTATGGTCATATCTAAGCAGCACAGTAACAGTTGACTTTTTATGATCGGATGAGAAGAAAACTCAAAATTTATTGAATAGGATGAAAATTGAATTTTTGTACCAAAAAAAAAAAGTGGTGGGTCATGCATAAACCAAACACTAGATGATAAGATCAATTAAGCTACAAACTCTAAAGTCGCCGGCAGCTTTATTGGATGCCTGGGATCAGTGGTCTTGCTTTATTTTCAGTTTATAATCCATCATCACGCAGATCTTATCTCAAATTCAATTGTCAATTGTCGAATAATTCAAAGAATAAAGTTAATATGTAACAAATTATAAATATTTTCTCATTAGTATAGCATAGAGTTTAATTTGAAGATTAAGCCTCTGTTTGTTTTGGGCTAATTTTAAGATTTTTCAAAAGTATTTTTTGACAGATTCTTTACCAAATATTTTTTGGTTATTATTAAAATATTTTTTAAAAGTCCATCTAAAAAAATGTGGAGTAAAAAATATTTTTAATAAAAGCAATTCTAAAATAGTTTTATCAGATGGAATTTGTATGTACTTTGACCTTTTAATTTAGACGTACCCTAAATTATATTGCATAGTTTACGACTTTAATTAATCACGGACCCATGCTTGTGCCTCCACAAAAAAAAAAAAAAAAATTAGTGTTGTATTTATACACGCTGATTAACTTCGAGATATTTGACAATGCATGTGCTTAGGATACCATTTAGTTTTTTTTTATCTTATATATATATATATATATCCATTATTGCATACCTCATATGCTTGTTTTATCTTTTCGTAAATGAACTAACTCAGCGAGGTGTGAGTAGCAGGCATTTCTGTGGTAGGGGTTGCAAATCCCATATCATGCGTATGTCTCAATCTGTTAGTTGAGAAGGTATATCTACTTCAAAAAAGATTTAGATGATATTCCCTTCACTTTTTTAATATAAGATGAAGTTTATGGGAAAATTTTTTAATTAATCCTAAATATAAGATGATGTTAGAGCAATTAATGTTTTTTTTTCAATGTTATCCATTATTTATTTATTGTCATTTGAATTTCTAAACAATAATTTATTATAGTCATTAAGGAGGGTAAAATTGAAAAGTTACAACATATATTTTTTTTTACAATTTTAAAATTATAACTAACATTTCTTAATAAGTACGAATTTTCTTAACTTATATAAGGATTGGAGTAGATGTCGTGGGCAAAATATACTAATTGTGCCTTAAAAAAGTCTTAATGACTTCATATAGTTTGAACTTGAACTAGTTAGATGTAGCTAGGAAGCCAGTAGTTAGATCAATACACACACACACACACTGACAATTATAAAAGTCTAATAACGGACACGGCATATATAAATGAATTGTTGATGAAAATAAAGACAAACTAATCCAACACACGATCCTGGTTACGTTATTATTTTACAAGCGTGCGCACTCTCGAGCTGTCTTCTTTTTATTTACGAAGCACAGCTTCAGAAAGAAGCATAATTAAGCTTGTTTAAGAAATACACGTATGATCAGTAAGGCTTTTCTCCTTCAATGTTACCCACAGGGTAATAGCTACAAATCACGAACATCCAATTGTTCCTGCACTTAGCCTTGGCACACCCAACAGATATGGTCTTGCGAGCCACCACTTGCGTGTAGTGTCCACACTCCCACTCACCGGTCCGGCAAGTGTTGGTGGCGTGGTCGTAGTCCGCCTTCTCAGTGCACCAGAACTTGACAGCATCCGACCCTTCCATTTCCTCGTAATTCATCGCCAAGTTCTCGCCGTATGGCCCCATCGAGTGCTCGAACTCGCACTTCTCGTACCTCGAATCCGCATATTTCTGAGCGTATTCCACCAGGCTCTCATTCCACACCAACGGTGGCACGCCCACCTCGGCCCGGGCCTCGTTGTGTGCGTCCAGCCACGCCTTAGGAGTGCTCTGATAGTGATGACAACGTTAATTAGGGTTTCTCATAGAAGCCCTAGAGTATAAATTATAAGGTAAAGATCTATTTTTACTTCTGAACTATTATCCAAAGAGCACCTAATGTCCATGATTATTGGTTTGAGCAATTTCATCCTTAAAGTAATTAAAATGAAATATTTTTGCCCTTCTTGTTAAATTCCCTAACGGTTAATGTTGGAGCTCTTGTTAATATTTCTAATGGCCAATGTTAAAAATTTGATAGCAAGGACAAAAATGTTCCGTTTTAATTACCTTAAGGGCAAAATTATTCTAACTAATAGTTTAAGATATTGGGGTGCCTTAGAGGATACTTTAAGAGTAAAAATGTACCTTTACCATAACCCCATAGTTTATATATATATATATAAAAAATAAAAAAATCATATTGTTGTCCAAAGGGAAAAAAGAAGAAAAAATTATGAAGAAACTTACGCCAGATCCAGGAGCCTTGGCTGGCTTTTGTTCTTGTGGCGGGTCCTGTTGATCCTGGTCAATAAATTGATATTTGGTTACGATAACATCGAAAATGTGAATTTTTTATTGATCAAAATAAAACTCGGGACTTTTTGTTGATAACTGAAAAAAAAAAAAAAGAGATATGGTTAAAAAAGTAATTCTGAGTGTAGGCATGTACTTCAGCCTGGCCGTGGGCTGCGACAGCGAACGACGTCGTGAGTAAACACACGACGGCGAAGATGGCGAGAACATTGTTTATGTTCGATGACGATGATGCGGATCTCATCTCTTCTTGTTTTTAATTTGTTTGTCTTTTGTTGTGTTGTTTGGTAAGCTAAGTAATAGGGATCGATGTGGTGATCAATGTGTTGGGGTATTTATGCGAACAAGTATGGAGGCCATTAATAGATATAGGAAGAAAGATTTGAACACCTGGTTGGTCATCTTCTATTCTTTGGTCTCCTTTTTTGGGCAGATTATTATTAGTCTCTTAATTTGTCGTAACAAGTCGACAAAATTTGTGTGGAAGATCACTTCTTCCTATTCTTCACTAATTTAAAGAACTTTGAAATAAAATTCCTATGAAATTAAAGCTGAAAAGGTAATTGACTTTGCAATTAAGAGATTAATATTCTTATAAAAAAGAGATTAATATTGGAATGAAAATTAAAAATTAAATTTGCCTATATATAATGGAAAATGAGTCTCATAATATTAAGTGACTTCTTAAGAGTGAGAATAAATGGGTAAGAGTAAAGAAAAACACCATATGTTAACTAAAAATTTCATGTTAAAATTTATGAATTGTTCTTTTTATATATATTAATTATTAAATTTAATTTTAATTTAATCTGAACTTCTCTCGTTGTCTTAAGTCGACTAATACCAGTTGTTTAAAATGTGAAGCAGCCCTTCCCAAAAATGGAGGGAGAGCACAAATGGACAAATAATTAACATCAAGCTGGAGTTTACAGGTCCTTTTTTTTTGTTATGTATTATATCATATGTTATTTATTAGCTCAATTATTTTTTTTTCATATCTAGAACCTTCTCAAATCGTTTTTAGGCAACCTAAAACACACACATGTACATACACACACATATATATCATTCATTATTCCAGTTCCATCAGCGACGGCAATTCAAGATCCTTCAATATGATTAATTAACATACATAATAGAAAGATATCTGAATGTATTTGGAAATAATAGGAATTAATCATGCCTTATATATGGTCGCTGGCCTTCAATGTTGCCAGGTGGATCATAGCTACAAATCACAACATCCATTGATTATTACACTTAGCCTTTAGCACACCCAGACGAACGAATCGTGCCAAACGACCTGCGTATAGTGTCCACACTCACCGCGTTTACACACTTGTTGGAATCATAGTCGTATCGGGCTTCTCCGACAGCCAGAAGTTGACGGCGTCGGGTGCCGTCCATGTCCCCGTAATTCTCAGCTAGATTCTCGCCGTAGGGTCCCCCGGAGTGCTCCAGTGCGCAGTCCGCCAACCTCTTGTTGGCATAGCTCTGAGCGTAGGCTGCCACCGTGGTCGTCCCACGTCATCGGCGGCACGCCCACTTCGGCTCGAGCCTTGTTGTGAGCATCCAGCCAGTCTTGCGGCGAGCTCCCGGCTAGGGCAAAGTAAGATGTGGTCAGTGAACGTACGAGGAGGAAGATGGCGAAGACAACATTAATGTTGAGATTTGATGACAAGGAGGAGCAGTGGAGGACAGGTTTCCTCTCTATCTTTTGATGTTGTCTCTGCCTGTATGTGTTTGTATGACGAGGGAGGTAGACGTGAATATTTAAAGGAACTATGGTGGGATAAACTTTAGCCAGAATTGACGAGTA